GCAATACAAAACAGATGACTTCAAACTGTTTGGCCACATAGCGGCGACTAGTCATTAACTTCTTCCTTTCATTTTCTGAAACCTGTTCCCTGGCGTTTTCTTGGTTCCTCGTGCTGGTAAAGCGAAAACGTCGAGACATGACGGATAAAGAGCGAGAGAAAAAAACGAATCGTAGTTTCTCGATTTGTTACCTTCGCGGTTCATATTTGATTTAGAAAAAAACGTTCAAAGAACAAAGAGAGAGCACTTCTGGAACCAGTGTTTATTCTCTGTCAAGAGCCTTACATGTAGCAGTAACAGCACCTACTAGGGAAATCTAAACAGGAAAACTACGGCTTACTAAACATTGTTCTCCATATTCATAGGAAAATCTAATTACTGCAAAATATAGATCAAAAAGCCAAAGTCCATTTGGTTGTTCATGACCTAAGGGATGGACAACAACATTCTCTCATCGTGGGAGGGGACGCCAGGGGAGCCTTGAGAGAATACTCCCAAAAAAATCATGCGTAAGAAAAGGCGACAAAAAAATCGTGCATGCACATGGAACAATTCGCAAGCACATGGAACAAATCGGAAGTCGACAAAAATTCCTGCACAATTAACCTCATATTGAAAAACCTTTGCCTTGAAAATTACCCAATGCCCCTTTCAAAAATATAATGGTCTGTCCCTAAAGCCGGAGGGGTGGGATGCCTTGAAACTCCCGGTGCATCTTTATTGTAAGCTGGCTAACGGCGATAAGTCATTTAATTCACTCGTTTTATTTTGTGCTAAGAACCCTGGAGTCCAGACTAATTCCAAAAGGAGTTGTTCCTTAGCTACGACCTACCAGCGAAATCCAAAAAGAGGATATCTACACTGTATTATATTATTTTTTATTACTCATTTCAAAGATCGAATCTGAGGGAAAAATGCACTGCGAGGGAGAAATGTATGGTGTGTACTTAATATAACATTCTACATCAGCGAGTAACTGATTCAGAAAACCTTGCATAATCTGTATAACATTCATGCCCTCTTCGAGGGCCAAAAACTGCCCAGAGGCAAAGTACGGGAATCTTAGTTACGTGGTCGCTTTCTGTCCCTCTCTCTCCCTCCCATCTTACAAAAACAACAAAACAACTTTTTTCCTGAGTTCTCCTGATCTCCTTTTGGAACACTGATAAACTACGCTTAAGTCTCAGCCGGTTTTTAATGTCGATAACAAATTTACAATTGTTTTCACACTTTTCTATCAAATCATCTCATAATATCACAATCGCTCGCCTCATATAGCCTTGTGTGAAGGGTTATGAGAAGGTTTTGAAAATAAACCCCTACGAAGTATGAAATTTGGAAAAAAAAAAAATAATAATAATAATAAGCGAAGCAATCAAATATGTCTGGTTTTTTCTTCCTTGGGTTGCACTTCTGATTCTGATACTTGTAGGAAAAATTATGATTTTGTAAATTTTGGACGGCGATACCTCAAGCGATCTCAAATCAAACTCTAGAACATGAACTGCTTAAAAGAAAAGCGAAGTGATTTTTTGAGAAATCGGAGGGCATTGTAAAACGAATTCTTTCTGATATTTATCTAGGCGAAAAAGCAAATAGCCTCTCCGTTGCGTCTAGAAGATGACGTTTAACTGTGAATTTATTATAACTGACAGGAACTTGTCAACGCTCAAACGACAGCATATTAATTGTTTGCAAATTACTTTTAGTCGGAAACCGAGAGAACTCTTTATTCCGAATTTCTAAAAAAAAAGATAAAATAAAAATAACGAAACTTTTTAGTCAGTGACTAACCAAGAAGTAAATTTGTAGTTTTGACTAAAATTAAGGTATTATGATACATTGAAGTTTCAAAGTTCACATGAGAGCAGACAACAACAACTGCAATGCAGGAATATAAACCAGGAACAGATCATGGGTGAAGGCAAACGCTCCGTTCGTTGGCTTGTCGGTTGGTTTCGTTGTTTTGTCTCCGAACAGCTTTTCCACCAGCTTGTCGTTAGGATTCGGATCCGTAGAGTTCAGCTGCAAGCAGTCGGTTTCCTTGTAAACGAAGCTTGTTCCCCACATGCTCTCGCAAAGGTCTTTGCCACTTACGTAATAATCGCTGAAATTTCTGCACGGCTCTTTGCACGTGTTCGAACCGTCACTGCTCATGTTAAATCCGCTTATCCAGTTTTTAGCGCAAGTTAGGTCCTCTTTGCAAGCTTCGAACCAGCCATCGCAGAAACTCGCGCAAATCGGAGCTTTCAACACTGCCGATTCATAATCGGGATTCTTCCAGAAAATCGCGTTATGTGAACAGCGGTAAAAGCACTCTACGCTGACCATAAACGACTCGCACTTGCGACTCAATGTTTTCTTGCATGGAGTCCAGGAGAAATTGCCGATTTTCTTGACCGGGGAGGTGGCTAGTTGTTTGGTGAAATCGCTGGTGCAGCAGGAATTGCTTTTGTACGCTTCACAAGCGACCATCGATTCTTCAGCGGACGGTGAGTCCTTGTGCTTTCCACCAGACAGACATTTGTTTTCTCGTTCAAGGCATTCGGCGCTCACAAACAAGGCCGAAGCGACAATTAATACGGCTCCAATCTTCATGATAAATCAGAATTAAGAGCTGGTTCTTTCACGGACAAGCAACGTCTAATCTATTGACCCTCTCTCGGTGGTTTAACTACGATGACTTTCACAATAAGAATGTCTGTCAAGCCGCGCCGATTAGCGGGATAGTTCTGGTTCAGTGTATATGTTATACGCTGATGAGCCAATCACGTGTCGTTTACCAGAGATTTCATCAACCTTGATCCAAGGGCGATATTTAGTGGAGCAAAGTCCAGATATTGAATACACAAGGAGATAAAGAAGAAAGAAAAGTGATAGTTCACTCTGTAACAACACACTGACGTCAGAATCGTTTTCTCAATTAAACTTCCAAAAACAACCGTCCCTTTTCTTTTGAAAATCGCATAACTAGGCCATTCCCGAGTTGTCTTTAACCGCTGTGAAATTGCCTTCCGCCTACAGGCTCATTTTCAGGCAAATCAAACTCATTTTTTATATGAAAGGTTTTGCACGAAGACTCTGAGTCATTTTGAAAGAGTGGCAGAAAGTGAATTCGGAAATGGCCTATTTCCTTCTTTTTGAGCATTGATTTCAGTAGATGATTCATGAACTTCCGCTTGTGTCATATATACAGCTGTTTTAAGAAAGGTTGTCGTACGAAAGTGTAAAAGCGTACGCGACAATGTCGAAAGGTATTATGGGTAATGGTGACCAACGGTTGCTTGATTGAGGCTAAAGTCATTTCATGACGACAGAGGGACGCAGCACAAACACGTATATTTATGCTCTTCTTCCTGAAGCACTGATGATCTCAAACAAAGAACGCCAAACTATTACTACCCATAATTGGCGTTCGCTTTTACGCTTGTGTGCTTTAACGCTTACCCTTTTACGCTTGCTTACCTTTGTCGAATAAGCTGTACATAGCAGCCTGCGAACCCTAGCTAGGGATCGATTTCAGGGAAGTCAGCGCTTACTAACAATCACATTTCACCTTATAATATCCACCGAAGTGGCACTCAAAAATCGTGAGTGGAGCTCGCGCAAACGCGTGGGGAAAAAATGGGAGAAGATGTGTTGTCCCAGATGTTTTGCGAAGTTTACGGGTTTGATAGTCTCAGTCAGCAACAGACGTGCGCCTAAACAGCGACACTTTTAAAAATCGTGTGGTGCTAGAATGAACAAAGGAGGTAATAACCAAAACATTGAGTTCGAGAAGTAAAAGCTCGATCAAGTTGATGCAAGAAAAAAATGGCGAATATCTGGTCATGTCGCTCTGTCAGTAATTTCAATATTTCGAGAGGCGACGTGGTGAAAAAAGTCACTATAAAATTAGGGAGCTTAAGCGAGGACGACGACGACGATGCCGAGGACAACGACTAATAAAAAAAAAAAAGATTTGTTTTTTACAAACGAAATTCGTGATTGTCTAGATCTGTTCTGTACGCCAATGGCTCTAAAAACGTGCTTAAGCTAAATATTCAACGACGGCGTTCAATTCCAAATGGAAATAGGAAACCTTAGCAGTCGTCGTCCACGTTTCGTAGACGACGCAGAACTTGGTCATTTCACGTTGTTGTTTTGCAGAGGACGGCAAAGAAATGTACATCGATTTATAACGCACGTGCACAGCTATTGTTTTTTCTTTTTATTAAACCTTTTGCTTTGTGACGTTCTCGTTGCTGTCGTCGTCGTGGTTTGCTAAAGCCCCCTATTATGTGCCATGCGTGGTTTTGTATTTATTGGGTGCTTTCGTCATGCAAAAGTCGTAGACAGTGTTAAAGCATACCTTATTATAGGAATTAACGCTCGTGTTAATTAACGTATTTGAAATTAACGCGTCTTAAATTAACCCGGATTGAAAGTAAATTTACTTCCCAATAAAGGAAATTAACGCGAGAGAGGGCGTAAAATTTCAAAATGAGGGAAATTAACGCGTCTGGTACACCAGAAAAAAAACCAAAACAAATCAAAACAAAACAAAAAAAACCCCAGAATTTGTTGAGAACAGGAACAAATTTAATTATTTTTACACTGTAAAGCTTCAAAATACAAACAAGAATCGTCCAATTGTCTCTGAACGTATGGGTCAAGCGAAGAAATCTGGCCACTTTGAGCGTTCTTCATAGTGTCCATGACACAGGAAGATCTCCACCCTGACAAAATGATGCTTTTTTCCAGACAGCGAACACGAATAAAATTCAGTTGAAGCACAGTTAACGATTTACTAATCTGGGCTACACTTCAGAATACCCGGCCACGATTGCGTGACATTAATGTTCTGCCCCCCCGCGCAGTCCCGCAGTCGCTAAATATTTGCATAAGGAAACAAAAGAGAAATATGAATATTCTTCGTTCTTTAATCCACTGCGGGAGTGCGGGACCGCGGGAGCACTAGTTCCAGATCCATTTAATATATTTTTTTAAATATACTTTAATGATTAATGTCATGACTGCAGGACTACGGGAGCAGGAGATTAATGTCACGCAATCGTGGCCGGGTATTCTGAAGTTGCTCTAATCTGAAAGACTGATGTGAAATGTTAAGTGCGCGAATAAAATTTATTGTTTGGCTGTGTCAAGAATGTCTGAAGTGTGTCACAGATTTGGGGGAA